AAGTTAAAACATTCCTCACAACAACAAAAAAATATAAAGGAGAAATTAATATTAAATTAAAATAAATAAAAAAATATCAATGATTTATTAACTTAAATAAAAAATAACTTAATTCTCTTTAAATAAAATTTTAAGTTCAAATCTTATAAATAAAAAAAAATATTAAAAGAGTTATCCGGAAACAAGTATTTTTTTTTATCAATAAAAAATTAGGAGATAAAAGAATAATTACAATATTACTACACTGATAACTTAAACCTTTGACAAAGAAACCAAAGACATTAATGCACTTCCATCGCAAACTTAAACTTTTGACAAAGAAACCAAAGACATTAATGCACTTCCATCGCAGTTAAGGCCGCAGGTGCATCCAGACACAAGTATTTGATTATAGATAAGTTAAAATTCAATGTTATTTTCAATACAGAAAAGTTAATACAAATGAATGAATAAGAAAATAATAATATTAAATAGTATTTTCAAAGATGAATAATGGCAAGATGAGGCGCCGACTAATTATTCTCTTTAAAATATTGTGTCAGTACAATAAGTTTTTTACTAGTCACACTATCCATCGACGAGCAGTGCTAGGGGCACTCGCCCCTTCCCCTTTCATGGGACCATGTAAGGTCGTTTTGAGGCTTTGGAGAGCAACCTCTTACCACTAAAATAACGTGGCCCAATGAATGCGGAAGTGTTGACCGGAAAAAGTGCAGGAGGCGAGTGCCCCTAGCACTGCTCTCCATTGCCACAACAACTTAACATTTTTTGTTGTTGTTCTACCAAATTTGTATTTTTATGAAACAAGCTCTATCCTACCACATTTCCTTGCGCAAGAGAGTTTTAAAGAACTAGATACCATACATGAGGAACAAGAGAGTAGAAGAATGTGTATTGTGTAAAAGGAGAGGCTGTCTATCTATAGCCCTTTTGATATGTAACCACAAAATATGGAATTTATTTGGAACGACTAATTGAAAAGAAAAAACGCTTGCAAATTTCAAACACTTTAAACGAAACAGCTAAGCATATTATTCAGCCTGTTGCAAAATGGATTTGTATCTGATGAGGGTTGAACAAATTTTAGTTTGAATGTTTTAAACACAAACGTCTCCAATTCTTTTAATTAAAATTTACAACTACACTAGTATTTTTTTTTTTGTTACACAATAAAAGATTATGATCTCTTATTTTTGATCTCATCTTATTTTTAATAAAAAAAATAATTATTAACTTATTTGAATCGCTGTTACACTAGTACCTTATTCCAATACTAATTTACTATTTGATTTCAAAAACAACCCAACTCATAATAAAAAAATTGGGCAATATCTATGCACGGTCAGCAAGGCACGAACGCTGGAGATAAGCAAATTTATCGTTCTTCTCTAATTGATGCTAAATGTATAGAGTCATTTATTTATTTATTTATATTTCGATAAAGGTAATAATTAAAAAGTTAGTTTGAGTTAGTTGTTAACAATTGAAGATTCGATTCTCAAATCAGATGAACATTACACCCCCTCAAATAAGGTGCGCGGCCATCGAAACGCTTTTTGGTGGAATTCACAACGATGATAGAATTTAAAGCTCCGACCACCTCACCTAAACATTTAAGGTTTGAAACCACCTCACCTAAGCATTTAAGGTTTGAGGTTGAATAATTGAGTCTAAAGGCCAATTAAGACAATCAGTCATTTATTTGATACAACCTAGATGGCACGTTCGTCAAAAGGAGGTGTTACTGAACTGCCTATGCTTTGTAATAAAATGAGCTACAAAAGTACAGACGATTTGATTTCTTGATGCAGGATTTGATTTCTTGATGCAATTGCTGAACCGCCCATGCTATGTGTATGGGGCAAAATTAATGAGGCCTAAAGCAAGGAAATGCAAGGAGAGAAAAGAAAGGAGTGCATTTTATTATAAAGGTTTTTCGTATGGTAGAGTTTAAGAAAATAATTAATGTACTTTTAAGTTTTAACCATGGAATTACATTAAAAAAATAAATTTTGATTTTAATTTTAATAACTAATCAATTAAATTAAAACATGTAACATTAATGTTAACATTAACATCAATTTATTTTAA